CGACAGTTCATCTTCTGATTTCGATTCTGATTTGTATTTGTAGGTAAGAAGTAGTTTTTATATTAAAATTATTATTTATGAACGTAACGTTGTTTAAAAGTCAAAGTTTAAACCCTTATACCTACATAACCCGTTTGACACAATGTTCTTAACATACCTTGTGGAAAAATAAAACATTTTAGAAAAAATTGCACTTTTTTACCTTCAGCTGTTTAGAAGTTATAAGCAGGTTAATTAGGTGAAAATATAAGTGTATACTCGAGGAATAACTTCAAAAAACATTTTAACTGTCTACTAAAAGAAGTGGTACGCCTATGGATTACGAACGCTTTATTATTTTAATACTCTCTCATACATAAAAATAGACTATAATATAAACACAGTATCAACATAAGTCTTGGAAAGTTCAGCTAGTAATACTTGTAAGATGTCAAAAATATAAATTAATTCTAGGGATGGTTTAAAGTAAATGTGACAAAATAAATTTATAATAAGTTGTAGCAAAGAGACAAATAATAAAATAAGGGAATTTATGTAAAGTAGTAACAGTAAAATGATCTTTATAAAAAATACACAAACCACCACTAGGTCTTCCCAACGATTTTACTTTTGTTGCATTTGAAGTAATGTAATTAAAATTATTTGGTACAATAGTTAAATCATTATTAAGCCAAGTTTCACTAAGACAAAGAATATCAAACTGAGTCTTTGATTCCGACAAATTAAACACATTTTCAAAGCCATGACAGTTCCAGAAGCATATTGTTAGTTTTTTTAATCTTCAGTTCTATTCATTTTAGCTGCATTTTTATTTGATGATTCATCATCCACTGCCGAAAAATGATTCCACCAATCACAGCTCATGTTTTGAACACCCAACTACTATTATTTCTAAATAAGTGACAATTCTGTCAAACTAATTGTCAGTATATTTATTAGTTATTGTAATTAAATTTATATTAAAATGAGTTATTTTTGGCTAGACTCGATAAATAATGACATTTTTATTTGGGTCACATTTTGAAAAAAGAATTAAAATTTTAATCAAACTTTATAAAACTAATTTAATTACGAATATTAAAACTAAAATTGAAAAGTGGCGGTGATGAGGACAGAGCATCTACCTTCCACGCTAAAAGCCCGGGATCGAATCTGGGCTGGAGACTAATTAATTTTTTTTTTTGTTTATTTTATTAGTAAATTATTAGTAAATTAGTAAATTATTTTAAAATTAGTTAATTTGTCTTAATAACCTAAAATAATTTTAAAAATTCATAGATTTTCGTTAGTGGACCGTAAAAAAATACACTGTACTACTCGAGTGGATTGTCCGTATCATCTACGACGTCGTGTTCAAAATTCGTCTTCGTGTGATATGGCCATCATATCTATTCTTGTTGCACAATGCACACACTCCTATACTTCTTCCAATAAAAATATGTTTCTTTTGATCATCTTTATCGTATTCGTATGTGCGATAGCATAATCCATTAAAAAATAATAATCCACAAAATACTTGAAATGGGTAGACTTTTGAAGTAATTTCTCTACAAGTTTCTCTGGAAACGCCCACACCTACAAATTATTCCTGAGCAGTTGTGTTCTTCTGATTTTCATTAGACGAAAACATGTAAACGTACTTATTCATTTAAATTTCAAATCTAAGAGTTGTTAGAAATTATATTCGATATAAAAAAATCTCCGCAGTTGCGGTATGTATTTTTTCTTTCTTTCTAATGATGCACTTCTGGAGTCCAGGTACACGTGTATAGGTATAAATTACTGTGCTCGTTATTAAATAAATGCGGGTACCAGCATATCTGTCACCGGTACAAATTCATATTTCGTTAGAATAAAATGCCGATAGAATCTTTTTCGTACATGTTATTCTGTTATTTTGTAAAATCAGTTTGTTGCGAAATTGAAAAGGATAATCAGAAGAATGTGAATACAAATGGGTTTGCTTTTGTATAATATATTTATTTACAAGTGTATTGAATTCTTATGAAACGATTTTTCTGTTTCGAAAATCTACTCAACAATTCCGTGTATTAACCCTTAACTGGTCACTTTTGATTTACCGCATTAACTAGATTAATTACAACCATATCCCTTCCTCAAGCTATTATTAACCCCTAACTATATTAGTGGTTTGGCTATGTAATTCTGCAATTTGTCACGCTTCAGTTGTGTTTTACTTCCAAATAAGAGTCGCAATATTTTAAACACATTCTTTTAATGTATAGAAATTTAATATACAGTGTACAACAATGTTCCACCCCCCCCCCCCCCCCCATCCTTTTTTTAATTGAGATATCGAATTTATTTCTTCTTTGTTTGATCAAGTACTTCCTTATAATGAATCCAACATGGTATACTTCAAGTTTTTCCTATATATTTAGTAGAAAAAGTTTCCAGTAAAAGTAACTTTAAGTCGACTACAAAATGCCGTTCTTTGATTTTCTCTTACTCAAGGTCAACTTAGTTTTTTTATATAAAAGCATATGCACCATGTCATTTATTAAGAAAAAATAAATAACTTTTGTCTAAACCATGTTTTTCCTCTCTCTATGATTTGAATCGACTAGAATTTATTTATTTAGCTCAAACAGCTATTTAGCACATATACAATTACACCTTATTTCAAAAATAAATTTACCTAACCTAGATTTAAAAGTGTTGACGTTAGATGAAGTTTTAATAATTAAATGAAAACTGTTATAGATTCTTAACCCTTCTACAAATAACGTTTTTTCCATGACAGTTGTATTAAATCTTTGAATGTTTTGATGAGCATTCTCACAAGAAAATTACTTAGGTAAAGCGGAGATTTATTGTTAATAATTTTAAAAATCAATACCATTGTAGATTTTATGACAAGTTGTTCAAAACATTTAAATGATCGGTATATATCTGTCACAGCGAAGTAGAATTTGCAGAGTAATCTTTGTACACAATTATATGAGCACGAAATAAACAGGCACATAAAGTAAATAATATGCGAAAAATTATTTGATTTTTTTTCTACGCCCTTGTCATTAAACGTTAAAAATCGCACTATCAACATTTCTTGTAAATGACATTTAACAATTTTGATAAGAAAACTTAAATTTCTTGGTTTGATCAAATTGCAATCAAATTTTTGTTTACGTACGACTTTATTTGGTATAGTTACATAAATTTAATCAATTAAAAAATATAAAAACTAGCATTAGCGAGATACATTTTGGATTAAAAGAGTGATGCCTCTAAATGTTGGCAACACATCATACAATTTTTCAACAAATATGTGGCGCGTTTTCTTAGCATGCTATGAAAATAAACGTCATGTCATTTATATTGTTAATTTTTGTAATAAAATATTGTATCCGAACATTTTCTCAACTTTACAAGACCGATATTTATTTATTTATTTATAATTTCTAAATTCTATTAGACTTGCTACACATGTTTTTCATAAAGTAGTCGAAGTATTCTTCTATGTCAATCTGTAAGTTTTGGGAATATACGTTCAATCTCTTGAATCTTTTTTTTTTTGTTATAATTAATTCTAATAATGTTTTGGAATTACTTGTAATTCTTGTAGATTTTTTTTTACTTGAAATTAAAATAATTAACAAACGAACATTCTGCAGACAATATTTACTTCAAATATTGAAAACGTACCCACAGTGTTTTAAGGATGGATTAATTAATTTATTTTTTTCTAAAAACGGACCTGGATTTCGTTTCTTATCTATGCTTCAGTACAGGAGTGTAGTGTCATTTTGGCGCCCGTTGGCCGTTGACTAGTTTGGCCCCTCTACGTCAAATTATACAGTTTTCAGTAACAAACTTGCATTTAGGCTGATTTTTTTTTAGAAGCTCGACTAGCAGCAGGAGTTGGTTTATAAATGCAGGAGTTGGTTTATAAATGCAGGAGTTGGTTTATAAATGAAAGCTGTCGACCTTTTTTTTTTTTTTCAAATCCGACCCTTTGAAAATCTGAGTTGTACAGGCCTGCTTTAGTAGATCCACTAAATCTTGGAAAATACGCTTGTCAAATCTCAAATACATACACAGGGTGATTTATAAGTTATGAGTTAAGAAAATCTAGGTAAAATTGATGAAATGCCCTACCCTGTGTTTCGGTTATAAAGGACGAAAGACCCATTAATTATGGGTTAGCTGTATCATTTCCGTCAGGACTGGATACTCCCGTGTTCAGTTTTCGTCTGCGACGCGCATAATGTTACTTACAGATTAATCGAGTGATTTTCGTTTGCACATTAAAATAATGACCGCCCACGATGCGCAAATCCTATCTTTAGATGGGTATATCGTGCATCTCCGTGGCCTCCATCTCCCCTGTATAATGTTTATTTGAGTAACCATTATGTGTCAATGACTTAAATGTATACAACAGACAAAATTGAAATTCTGGTGATTTTAATTTACTCCGAATACCGTTAGAATTGATTTAATAAAAAATGACGAAGAAAATGTCAAGCGCTTATACCACCTGGAAGGACTGAAATTAATTTGACGTTGGGATATTGGGAAATGAACGAAAAAAAAGAGACCGCATCTGGAAACTGCTCTAAAACTATTTTTGTAACAATTTGCAGTTTCGATCACCAAGAGTAAATTTGCGAGTATAATAAAGGTAACTCGTAACTGCAGAATATAACAACTTTATAAATTGACGTCCATGATGGTAAATCTTAAGCACTGTATCGCGCACGTCCTCCTCGACAAATACAAAAAATATCTTATTGATAGGTCTTAAAATATTGCACCTTGCGATTAAAAGTAAAATATATCTTATCTTCAATATTACCAGAAATATATCTCATGAATAAATGAACATTCCATCCATTTTTATAATTTAAGCAAATCTCAAAATACTTAATAATTATTTTATATATGAATTCTTTAAAACATTTAATTTTAATTTATTTTATATATGGTTTCTTTAAAAATACCTTTTTATTTACTTTATTTACTTTTTTTTTTTTCAGATCAACAGGCAGTACCATCTCTGACAGAATTAGCTGCTAAGTGCGTTGCTTCTCACATCCCATTCGAATTGGTGGAACACGTTTATCCGCCAGTGCCGGAACAACTTCAACTTCGGATCGCTTTTTGGAGTTTCCCTGATAATGAAGAAGACATACGGCTGTACTCATGTTTGGCCAATGGATCCGCGGAAGAGTTTTCAAGAGGAGAAACTCTCCACCGAACGCATATGGTCAAAGATCCCTTACAGATAGGTAAGTAGAAAAAAAACATTTATATACAAAACAATTTCCGTTGCCATCTTGTATAGTCTATTTTTATGTATGAGAGAGTAATAAAACAGCATTTCTAATACAAAACTTAGTACGGTCATTTTAAATATTTTTACAGAATAATCTAAATATTTCCTAAAATTGTAATAAATGTACCTGAGCTATTACAAGTTTTGGGTCTTTTATTGGTCCTTTATAAACATAAGCTGTACAGAACAATAGAAAAAAGTTTGGACAGGCCAAAAGCCCTGTGTATTAAAGATTACATAGCCGTATCTTAAGATTATTTTCAATAAGTACCTATTTGCCAATTTTGTTTTATTTTAATTCCAAGAATTTCTTACAGTAATCGAATTATGAGTAGATTAATACTTTCCCAACAAATTTCACCGAAAATGCGATTATAGGTTTTCCATTTAGTAAGGAGGTCCAAGTTGTGTATTCTTGACAGTTTACTAAATGTCGTTTAGTTGCAGTGTGAATTCTAGTATGATCATGGAAAATTTGGAAGGGCCGCGTAAACGACAAAAAATCGGTCCTTTAACAGTTAATGAAAAAACATTAATATTTAATTGTTTTAAATCATTTACAGAGAAACATTTATGTAAAAGTGTTGATGACACAGTGGAATTAGTTATTAGTACGCTTGGTGTTGGGAAATCTACGATTTACAGAGTTGTTAAAGAAGAGAAATGTGGCGAGTTTCAAACAGCACGTAAAGCTCCAGGAAAACCAAAATTTCAATTAGAAAATCTTTTGAAAGAAAGACTTCGAAGGAAAGTGCATGCGTTCTTCTTTAGAAAAGAATTTCCGATAGTAGACGTTCTTGCCACGATTCGAGATGATAAGGATTACCCTGAAATGAGTCGAAGCACACTATGGAAACTTTTAAAAGAAATAGGTTTTCTATGGAAAAAGTATTCCAGAAAGTCTATTTTAATAGAAAGTAGCGATATTGTAGTATGGAGAAGAAATTACCTAAGGACTATAAAAGAAATGAGAAACCAAAGAAGAAATATATTTTATTTAGATGAAACATGGATCAACGAGGGACATAAACCAAATAAATTTTGGCAAGATGAAACTGTTACAAGTCGAAGACAGGCTTTTTTAAATAATTTATCTACTGGTTTAAATCCACCATCAGGAAAGGGGCGCAGACTAATAATAGTACACATCGGTAGTTCAATCGGTTTTGTTAAAGGTGGTTTATTGACTTTTGAATCTACTCGTACCGGTGACTACCATGAGGACATGAATGCTGATGTCTTTAAAGAGTGGTTCGAACACATTATAGATCTTCTTCCTCAGAACTGTATAATAGTAATGGATAATGCAAGTTATCACTCGAGACTTATAGAAAAAATGCTCACAACCAAGTGGTTAAAAAAAGATTTACAGAATTGGCTAAATTCAAAGAATATTAAGTTCCATCCCGGTTCTGTGAGAAAAGAACTGTATCATTTGTGTTCCCTTCATAAAGAGAAATTCAAAAAATATGAAATTGATGAAATTGCAAAAAATCGTGGGATGACGGTGGTTAGATCACCACCATATCATTGCGAAGTAAACCCGATTGAACTGATATGGGCACAGATAAAGGGAGAATTTTCAAGAAAAAATAATTCTTTTAAAATGAGTGATGTTAAACAGTTGTTTTTGGAGGCTGTAAATAATGTGAAGCCTGAAAACTGGGAAAAGGCAGTAAATCATACGATTAAAGCAGAAGAGAAAATGTGGAAGTTGGACAATATTACTGATGAAATGATCGAGCCACTCATTGTAAATATTGGTTGCGACAGTTCATCTTCTGATTTCGATTCTGATTTGGATTTGTAGGTAAGTAGTAGTTTTTATATTAAAATTATTATTTATAAACGTAACGTTGTTTAAAAGTCAAAGTTTAAACCCTTATAACTATATAACCCGTTTGACACAATGTTCTTAACATACCTTGTGGAAAAATAAAACATTTTAGAAAAAATTGCACTTTTTTACCTTCAGTTGTTTAGAAGTTATAAGCAGGTTAATTAGGTGAAAATATGTGTATACTCGAGGAATAACTTCAAAAAATATTTTAACTGTCTACTAAAAGAAGTGCTACGCCTATGGATTACGAACGCTTTATTATTTTAATACTCTCTCTTACATAAAAATAGACTATAGCACGTCATTTCTTTAATTTCACAATATACCTACATAACAATATGGCTATATAAACAGGTTATAACAAAAATAATAACCTATCTATTTAAGATGTAAACAAAAGTTTAGGGAGTCTAGGGGATCACGAGTCCCTTCAAATTATATAGGGTGCATTATTAGTATTTTTTCCTACAAAGCATTTTCGTGATAAATTATTCAACAGTTTCAGATTTTCAATTTGTAACATTTTTGTGGGCACTTTTGTATATCGCCGTTCCGGTGAAATATCGACGTAACTGCAAATCGGTAAAACTTTCAGGAGAGACAAAAAACAATTTACTTTTCCTTTAATTAATTATTTCTAAAAGAAAGTTTTTATGATAATCGTAATTTTGTCAGAAAGTAGCTTGTTAAATAGGTAGAATAAAATGGAATATGTGGCTTTTCCGTGCCCTTAAGGCGAAAATGGATTTTGATAGTTGCGTCTCTGTTTGACCAAAAATGAAAGATCACGTTAGGAGTTGTGTCCTTTTTATTACAACAAAAACACATAACAAAATAAAAAACTAAGCTTATAATTCACAAAAATTTTAAAATGAAACTAACTATACCTTATTAGAGAATGAAACTTTAAAAATAGTTATTTTAAAATAAAAGTATCTGTAGAATGTTGGTATCAGCTTGCTCTCTATTAAACTTTTTATATCCCTTTTTTATTTTCGGATAACTGCAAAGACTTTGAGTAAGCTTTTTTAAGTGTAAGCTTTCTTAAGTGTAAGATTTTTAATGTCTTGTAGTTCGGACCGTCTTCTTTTAGCTTTGAAATTTAAAGAAGACCAGTCAGCTTGCCCATAGATAGTTTTATAGCGAATTAATTCACTTCCTTTCTGAAACTCCAAAATCTTAACTTCATTTATTTTAAATTCATTACCATCAACATTTTTAGCAATGTTTAGGCCCATGTCGTCAAATAATGTTTCCAGATCACAGAAACTTTTAAATCCCATTTCTTTAACATCAATCTTATTTCCTTTTTTTTGCATCACGGACCATCGATACATATTGGTCTGGGACATAAATGGGTCCAGACTTTTTTGATCTTCTAATTTTTTTTTTTTTTCAATTATGCTATGGATAGCATCTGTTTCGTTTTGCGTGTGCCCGCGGATTAAAAATTTATGTGTTATTGACTTTATTGCAAATCATTCCACAGCATATAGATAGGCAGTAATTTGGAATCTAAAAATAATGAAAGACAAATCCATTAACAGATAACTTCTATTTTATAATTGTTTTAAATTTATTTTAATAAGAAGGTAGTATCCAGCTACTTATTAAAGACAAAAAGCGCAACAATAATTAGACTTGTCTTATCTAAAATTAAACAAAAAATATAATTTCTATACATACTTTGCTACATTTACGCAAATTTTAGTTAAGAAAAAACCTTTTTCTAAAAAAGAATAAAGTACACTTATTTCATGTTTTCTTGTATTTCTGGCTTTTAAGCAAACTATATTTAGTCGAATACGGCCACATAATACACTTACGTCTTTGTTTTCCCAAAAGCTTGGAAACTAATCGTATTTTGATAGGCAAAATTATCACTTGCGTCTTTATTCCACTTAGCAACGTCCGTTTCACCCCTCGGTTGAGAAACAACTGACACTTGCGGCGCTGTTTTCGCGAAATGTGCTTTAAATATCTGAAAATGGAATAAGCGCACAACTTCTATCTGGCGGCAAAAATTAGTACTACACGTACGTCTTTATTTTACCAAATAAACACTGATTTTTTGGGTCCATTTATGGTAATAACTCGATTTTGCAAACAATTGCAGTTACGTCGATATTCCATCGGAACGGCGATATATAGGTACCAGCCAACCTATTTTCGACTCTAGAGTATCTGGTATCATGTATGATCCTGTAGTGTATTATTCCTAATAAAATTAATTAGTACTTCTATACATTTTCAACATTTAATATACTGTTCTAAGACCAGTTGCAGGTAGCATTAGCCATTGCTACCACATTATTGCTCATTAAAACCAATTAATTTATGAACAAAGCTCAATATGAAGATAATGTTAATTTGTAACATTTTATGCCAAAAGAGCATACATTACGGGATTTCCTCCAAGAAACGGATCGAGAGCTTTTTAAAAAATAACGACATGGTCTACAATTGACAATAAAACAGTTTTGTACACCTGCTGTCATACGAGATTTCCTCAAAGAAACAGATGGAGAGTTTTCTTTTTAAAAAATGACATATCGGTCTACAATTGACAAGAAAAGAGTTGTGTGTACCTGCTGTCGGCAAGTGCTTGAGGGGAAGAGGGGGAACATGTGGAAGTTGCTCCAGATCAACAAGCATCATTTAAAAAGAACGTTCAGTTAGAGTCAGGAACAGCTCTAGTTCTACTGCTCGCGAGTTATTTATTTACGAGCAAGCCTATTTGAGAAATAAATTACAATTTTAAAATTATAATTAACATGTAGTGAAATATATATGGTGCTGAAATACAATCAAGATATAATTCATTACATATAGACTAAAATAGGTAAAGAATTTAAAAGATTTAAAAAAACAAAAAGTTGGATAAAATATTTACATTAAACATTAAAAATTAAAGATCAAAGATAAATTTCTGAAAGGGGGTGTTAAATATCTCAAGATCGTTATGAGTGTTGGCTAATGTTAACATTCTTTGAATACAACTGCTAAAAGTATGGTTTAAACGATAAAAAGGTACATAAAATGTTTGTGTTGCTGTCGAGTTGAGCGCGTTGGAACATAAAGATTTATTTTTGTTAGAAATTCAGTACAGCTGC